AGGTGGCTGAATATATCAAAACTTTATTAGTACAAAAAGGAAAAGATTTCAAAATTTTACGTTAAAATGTTGTGCATTGACTACTATAAAAATGTTCACTATATAAACCACTATCAATTTAAAATAAATTTTCTAATGTGACAATAGAATAAATGCTAAAAAGTATATATGGCATATACAATATGTATGATTGTAGATTTGTTTCAATAAAATTTATTTTTTGTAAACTATGATTCTCTGTATATAATTTTTTAACGAAGGGCCTAAAACGTTGCAAGTTTCTTTTTATTAAATTATTCAATTGGACTAAATTAAATATTTGGTGAGAAATCTGATTATACATTATATTTTCTCCTTGCATGTATATTGTCTAAAGCGTTAACTATGTAACATTTTGTGTTATTTCATTCACAGGAATTATTTCAATTAAAAAATTCATATATTAAGCAAAAATATATTTATGTTTAAAGAATCATTTATTCTGTAATTTATATTTATTTAAAATAGTAGTATTAATTTAAACATTTAATTTACATTTGTATTATTTTTAATTAAGATTATACATAAAAGTAAAATTTTAACATAAATTTTAACTTAATTAAACTTATTTTTATTAAATACGATATATAATTTAAATAAAAATTAAAAAAATAAAATAATATAACGATATATTTAATTTATTTTAATATTTAACACATAATATTAATTACAATTATATTTTATTTAACTTATTTTAATTTAGCTAATTATGTTTAATTAAATTTAATATGATAATTAAGATAAATTGTTTTTAATTAATAATAAATAATTAATTAAATAAATCTTATATATAAATAATAAAATAATATTTTAAATTAAATAAATATAAGATAATTTTTTATTTAATAATAAATATAAATAATATTATATATATTATCATTTATTATAATTTTTAATAAATCAAAAAATAACAATACAAACCTTATTAATTTTTACTATAATATATATTTTTTATCATTTATTATTTATTTAATTAATAAATATATTTTAATTAATTTATTTATTCAACTAGTTAAAATATTTTAATTAAACAATATATATATTTAATTTAATATTAATTAACAATAAAATTATTTTATTTTTATATAAAACTATGCATTATATCTATAAATTAATATAAAAAAATATCTTTATTTTTATGAATAACGATTTAATTTATATATAATATTAAATATTACTTAAAATAAATTATATATTTTATTAATAATTATATTTAAATATATTTTACTACATAAATCCATACAATATTCTTTTTATAAATAGCTTTAAAAATATATATATTAATTATTATGAATGAATTTAATAAAATATTAATGTTAATTATTTTAAAATAATTTCTATAATAATTATTATAGTATTTTATATTTTATTAAATTAATTTATTATAATTAATATATTTATTATTATTATTTTTTTTAATAAATAAATTAATTATATTGGTTAAGAAGTAGTAATGTTATTTCATTAAAACCATTATTTTATTATATATAAAATTAATAATTAATTTAATATAGCAATTATATACAAATTATTTATAATATATGAATTAAATTTACTTTTTTAACAATTAATATATGTTTATTTAAATAGATTTTATTATTTTTTTTAAATAATAAATTAATATAATAATATTATTAATGTTTAATTAAAAAACATATTTATTAGTAAATTAATAATTTAATTTTTAATTATATATATAATATATAAATATTATATATTTACAATATTTAATTTTAATATTAATTTAATATTTATTTTATTTAATATATTTACGTTATAATAAAAGAATTATATAATATATTTTTATTTAATTATATTATAATTATTTATTTTTATTATTTAATTTCATATAATATATATATTTTTTTAATTGTTTTTATAATCAATTTAATTAATGCCTTAATGTAATATATTAAATATTATTATTTTTTTAAATTAATTTATTTATTTTAAATATATGTTTAATTTAATTAATATTATTTTATATTATTATAATGTTTTAATTATATTTTTAATTGAATTTAAAAATTATTATTTATAATATTAATTTAAATTATTAATTAGTATTTTTATATTGTTATAATTTATAATAAAACGTTATTTTAATAATTATTGCAAAAGGGATTATTTATTTTATTATGTTAATTTAAATAAATATATTATTTAATTAGTTAAATAAATTATTAATTTATTATATTATTTTAATTAATTTATTTAATTAGTTAAATAAAATTTTAATTTATTATATTATTTTAATTAGTTTATATTTTATATATTATATTTTTATTATTTTTTTTCTGTTTCACATTTTTAACAATTTAATAAATAAAAATTATTTTATTTTTGTTTATTTTTATTATTATACATTGTTTTGAAACAGTTTTCTTTTCTTAACTATTATTTAATTTAATACGTTTTTTTTGAAAATAGGAATACTCATATATATTTTGCTTTTTTTTTTAACATATTAAAAATAATGGAATTAATTTTGTGCACATTTTTAATACATTTATATTCAAAGGTATTATAGAAAGTGATTTTTTTTTTTTTTTAAAACCATTATATTGTTTAAACATTTCCTATACACCCAAAAGGATTTCTACATTTAAATAGACAACCTAGTTATTAGATGGTGACATTCATATTACATTTATTTACAATAAGACTTTGTGTAAAAATATATTTTTTCTTTATTTTGCATAATGAACCTTTAACGTTACCATTTTAAAATAGGCAATCTCGAAATTATAGATTCATATTTTTGATTCACATAAATTATTCATTCATATTATACCGAATGTGTGTAGTAGGTACTTTATATCAAATTTTTTTTTTTTAATTAAAACAGCAGCTATTAATGCTCAGTCATATGAAAATAATGTCAAATAGGGAATAAACACATTATTTTGCCTATGTGTACAATTTACCCTCTACTCTTCAATTGTATATATTTACATAACATATTTTTGCGACATGAATAACACAATGTAAATAATAGAAGTAAATAAATCATGGACCATTAATGGGTGTAACAATTAACAAGAATGAACAAATATCGTGGATTCTAAAAGTAGAATATATATAACTTAGCACATATTGAGAACATGAGAGTAATTAGGCAAATTTTCTTGTAATTTTTTTTTCTTGTGAATGCTAGTTTAGCACAAGTACACTGAAAAGACAATATAATGAAACATTAATGTTAAACCAAAAGTGTTCATTAAAATAGAATTAATTTCATGGGTAGCATTTTTAAAAATGTCCACATGGTCCAACGGAAATTTTATATTCCAAGAATATATACAAGTTCAAAATTTAAGTTTTAAAAAAATTGTTTTATTTTCCATCTTAAGAAAAAAGTAGCGCTCATGGCATAAAATTAGAGATGTTGAAATCAAAGTAACAATATGGATTTTACAAAATAAAAAACAAATGCGTTTCATTCTTCTCCGAATTTATGTTAAAACCAAGACTCATTTGTTATTTGTAGCTTTTATTTAAAAACCAGTGTTAGCCTTTTTTATGTTATATTGAATACCTAATATTTTTTCACATTTTTATGAATTTTAGAAATATATTGTTTGCATTTCAAAAACTAAATTAAGTCATAGCGAAATAGCATACCACCTATGCAGAACGTAATTTCTTTCAATAGATGTTATATGATAAAAAATAATAACCAAAATGTACAATTTTACAATAAAGATAATCGAAGTTCATAGTATGAAAAATACTTTTTTATTATTTAGTGGAGTCATCCTACATGTAATAAGACAACAATATTTAAACAAATTTGGATTTACGTTATAAGAGGAAATGTTTCCAATGTTTTTGAAAACATGCTTTGAATATACTTTTTTGATTTTATATTCGCCTTTTTAAATTTACGCAAATTAATGCGCAAGAAATAATTGAAAAGTGTCCTGCAGAAGTTACTGCATATGGAACCCATGAAATTTCTTGTTTTACACTTTTTTTAGGAAATGTTCTAGCTGTTGTTTGTTCAAATGTCGAATACATAGTTTTCTTTTACATTTACAGATCCTAAGCTATGTTATTTATTTAACTTTTATTGGTACCATATGTATTTATGTTGATATATATCCTTTTATATTTTTTTTAATATATGTCCTATACAACATAGTTTTTTCAGATTTTTAATTTTTGCTCAAATATATGTTCTTCATTTACCACACATGAACAATGTACTAAATGTTGTTGAAGCTCTTTATTTTATTTCATTTTAATTAACACTTTTTCAAACATCCATGAAATTTATTTCATAGAGTTGCAGCATTTAAAGTGTCTTACACTTTTACCTAAGTTTTTTACACCACTGTTAGTGTTGCTGCTTGCAGTGTTAAAATTATTTAATTTACTCTATAAGTATCACATAGAAATGAAAAAAAAAAGTTAACAGTAGATATGTTTCTATATGTTTTTCCTTTAAAAATAAAAAGAACTATCAAGAAAACAAATTTTAAATATAATCTGTGTATAGAGACAACACAGCAAAAAAAAAGTTGTTATTCGTGTGATCATAAGAAGTATATAAATGTGTTTGAAAAAATTAAATTAACAATTCATTCTTTATAGTTACAAGAGCAATAATTCGCATATAAAAAACAAAATTTTTATAACATTGTATTACGGATGTATGTGTGGAGTTCGTAGATTTAACGCCCCAATTAATTTTACATATTCACGTTCACACAATTAACGACTGCAAAGGGGCAAAGGTTAAAAAAATAAAAATAACGAATGAACAAATGGTAGATTATGAAATGAAAAAAAATTAGAAAAATATTCTTCATTTGGAATGAAAAAAATTTTATTTTTTAATTTATGTTTTAAGAGATATACAATATCATTAATATTTTACAGAAAATGAGGAATAGAAAAAAACGAAGGGAGAAAAGTAAAACACGCTTGGGTTTTTGAAAGCTTAGATATTTAACATTATGATTATTTTAAAGAAAACGAAAATATCGTGCGTGAAAAAATATTTTTCTCATTTTAAATATGTAAATTTTAAATCAAACTTTGTCACTGTAAATTTGAATTCTCAAAATAAGGAAAGAAAAAAGAAATGTTACAAGAAAATAAAATTACACGCACTTTTTAGTGATAATTTAAATGTATGTGATAGGTTAGCATTACTGAAAAATTCACCTAAGGACAAAAATGAAAAATGTGAAGGAATTAGTGGAAAAGCAATATACAAATATCTGCTTAATGAATATAAAAAATGCTTTAATTATATAAGTTTTAGCGCTGTAATACAAAGCATAAAAATTTTTGATGAACTGGACAAAATTTTTAGTCATGATGATAATTTTTTTATAGTAATAAAAGGTGTAGATAAAAATGTTTTAAGTAAAATAAACGAAATAGAATTCAGTGAAAAGAATCTATGTTTTCATAGAAGGGAATTATTAGGGAAAATTTGTAACAGGTTGATTAAAGATGTGCATGAAATAAGCGGAAATGAATTGATTCATTTTATGGTTTATTTTTTTAGATGGAATAAAGGTGACAGGAAGTTGTGCCTTTTCTATAATTTTTATTTTAATCATGTCTTTGCTAATTTATATCTTTTTGGCTATGAAATTTATAAAATCCTTTTTATATTAAACACGTATCTCATTAATAATGATTTCAATATTATTTTTGATGAGAACCTAATGGGAAAAAATGTGTATGATGCATACTTTTTTAGAGAATTAAAAAATCAAGGAAAGTATGCGCTCAAAATGAATAAGGATGAAATTTACAAGAACTGCTATGACAAATTGTTGGAAGATATAGATAAAATTGAAAAAAATAATATAGTAAACATTTTAAAGTTATATATTGATAATTTAAGCAAAAACATCAATATAGACAATAAACTTTTGGATATTGTTCATAAGAATTTATTAAACGAAAACATAGAATATTTTGTAAAATTAGTAAATCTATACTGCTTCATGATTAAGAAAGAGATATATGACAATTCTTCAGTAGTTTCCAAGCTAAAGGAAGTGATTTTATGCATTTGTCAAGTATTAAGAGAAAAAGAAAACCAAAAAAAGTTTCTTTCTGACATAAATTATAGCACTGTATTAAATTCACTAAATAATAAGAATGTTTTAAATAAAATTCTGGATAACAATTTTGGTCTATTGTATGAATATTTGTTAAAAAAATTTTCTAATATAAAATTTGAAAATTTACAGGCTCTTTCTATTTCACTTATTTCTATAAAGAATATATATTTCGCCTTATTAAAAAAGAATTATTTTACGAATAATGTTTTATTTTGTGATACCTTTAAAATTGGTTTAAATATATCTAACAGTTTCTTAGAGAAATGCATAAAAACGAATAATGAAAGTATAATGCACATTATATGTAGTGATAGTGCATCAAATGAAATAAGTTTGAAAAACATGAAGGACACAAAGATGAGGAAGAGAAACGAATATTATTTTTACAAAATAGAAAATTATACTGACTTTAATTTCAAATTGAAAACTAGTGACTTATTGTCTATTAAAGTTTTGTCTAACTCTTTCGCAAAGGTGAACAAAGTGCACAATTCCTATGATTTTTATTTGCTCTTTAATAATATTTCTTGTATTTTATATTATTTTATAGTAAATAAGAGAACAATAAGGAGATATAGTGATACGCATATATACATTTTGAATGACCTTTCTAATATATATAAAAATGTGAAAAATACTGTAAAACATACCGGTTTAATCTCAAATGATGTTGAAAAGTTATTTTGTAAAAACATTTTAAAAGTTAGTGATCTTTATATTAAGCATCTTCATGAAGAAAATAACTTCCAAAGAGATCAATATATATGTTCATTGATCTTCCTGAATAATATATTTTTCGATAGAATTATTCTTTTTGATTATGTAATTGATATATGGTGTCATGTTATTAAAGCATATAACTACTTTAAACATAATAGAATGTTTAACGAGGATACAATATCTTTAATTCTTCTAAGTTGTTCTAAGTTCCAGTTCTTTATTGAAAATAATAGTAATAACAGATACTACAGAAAGGAGTTGATGATTTTAAAATATAACATTATTGATGATTTAACTAAAAACTATTTAAACACATACAAGTCTATTTCCTTGGACAACTTATCAAAAGTTTTGATATCACTGTCCAATTCCAAATGGAGATATGAAATTAGTGAAAATTTATTATTAGGGAGCTTGAAACATGAGATTGCAAAAGTTAACACAAAACATAATGGTAGCGTCTTTGAGCATAACAAGGTTTTGGATTACACTACTTCGAAGCTAAAATTGGAAGACATTAATGTCGAAAGTGATAAATGTGTTTTATTCATAAACATGAACAAAATTATTGAATGCTTGATAAAGTTAGATATCTTTTTTTATTTAAAACAAAGATATACCTACGTACAGTTATATATGAATGCTTTTTGTAGCGTGCACTTAAAAAAAAATTTGTTAAAAAAAATGCTCTACATAGCTAATAACTTGTATGTACACGAAATATATGGGCTTGTCTCTGAAATTTTAGAAAAGTCACTAGGTGCATACGAACAAATTTCATATAATTTTATTAAAAATGTAGAAAATAAGGTCTTTGAAAAAATTGCATTCTATATATCAGAAGATGATTATATCGAAATATCAAACACATTATTTGTACTATTTTATGAATATTTGGAAATTTTTAATTGGGATAAAAATCACAGAAATGTTCTTGGGATTCCTGTGAAATGCGATACAGAGTCTTTTGAACGAAGGCTCTTGGATAATAAGAAGGTTGATATTTTGCAAAGCGAGAACAAATGTAATTCTAGTGATAACCCCAAATCCGTTGTGACGGAAAATGATGTTAAAGCTGAAAATGTTATAAACATGATTAATAAAGAAAGCATTGTAAAAAATTATGAGAATAGTGCAAATAAGAACATTCTAAAATATAATGTTCAAGGAAACAGTGTTTTTGTACGGGATATAGTAAACTTATTTGAATTTTTGAAGATGAATAAAGGAAAATTTTTACTATTTCAACTTTATATATACCTTTCTAATAGCCAAAAGTTCCAAAAGAGTAATCCATTATCATCCGCTTTACACATGGAGGTGTTTAGGGTTTTAAAAGACATGTACCCAAGGTATCAGTACGAGCAAAATTTCAACATTAAAAATGAGGAAGGAACATTTCTGTACTCGATTGATATCGTCCTACTTCAAGTAAACACATGAAGAATATAATTATTTTAATTTAGTGTGTTATTTAATTTGTTTAAGCAAATGTGTGTGCGTTTATTATGTATGTATACATACATACATGCAAAAACATAAATATGTATACATATATATATATGCGTAGATACATACATGCAAACACATAAATATGTATACATATATATGTATGCGTAGATACATACATGCAAACACATAAATATGTATACATATATATGTATGCGTAGATACATACATATTTACAAAGCAAAAAGACAATTTCGGGATATTATTCCTGATAAAAACATGCGTGAAAAGGTATGTATATTCAAAACAGTATAAAAAAAAAATTGTGTAAAACCCTTTATTCAAATATATGTAAGCATATGAATCACTTTTCTGTACATATGTGCATATAAAATTAAAATTCCGCATTATATACACAGTGTGGAATATAGCATTAAATTTATGTTTTATTTTAATTATTCATATAAATCTTTTGAATTGAAAAAATTGAACCAATCTTTCGATTTATACAAATTAACAAAATAATGAAAAAAAAAAGGGGGGGGGGTAGGAAAGGTTAAGAAAAAAAAAAAAAAAAAGAAAAAAAAATTTTTTTTTTTTTTTTGTGTGAGTATTTGTAAGATACTTATTATACAGGTATATACAAAACAACTAACAGCAGCTTTTCTTGGAATGTTTTTCACTATCTAGGTTTATTAGGTTGCTATTCTCAGCTTTATTGTTTACATTACTTTTATTATTAATAATATTTTTATATATTTCTTCTGCAAGCATATAAAAAATATTTTTTATATTCGCCCCTGTTTTGGCGCTTGTCTGAATAAAGAGCAAATTATTTTCTTGAGCATACTTCTGCACATCTAACATATCTACTTGAAATTTATTCTTATCTATTTTATTAGCAACCAAAATTATAATGTAATTACTACTAATTTTTAATTGGTTTACCCACGTTTTAGCCCTATCTAAGCTATTTGAATTGCTAATGTCAAAAACTACTATGGCGCAAGTGGCACCTCTATAGTATAAGGGGACAATACTTGCGTATCTTTCCTGTCCAGCTGTGTCCCATATATCAAATTTTATATTACATAAACTCTCGTTGGTTTTAAAGTTTTCATTATTCAATGTAAAGTTGTTATTACTGTTGTTGTTAACATTAATGTTGTTGCTGCTGTTACTGCTAACGACTTTGTTAGTACTTTTCATTTTTAATTCGTTCATGTTAACAACATATGTGCAGAATGAGGCACCTATTGTTGTGTTCGTGTTATCGTGAAATGTATCTTTCGTTAAACGTAAAACTATGCTTGATTTTCCCACTGATGATTCTCCTAATAACACCGTTTTATAACTACTTTTCTTTTCCATTTTTCATTTTTAATCTAGTACATTATTGTATAAGTATTTACGCTCAAGAGGGGAGTCCAAGTCCAGTAATAAATAACGCAAAAAAAAAAAAAAAAAAAAAAAAGGGAAGTATTCTACTACTATATTTCAAACAAAAAAAAAAAGGTGGAAAACAATTCAGTTAAAGTAAAATACAAATTATGTTACTTTTTACACTTAAATAGAAAAAAAAGAAAAAAAAAAAAAAATACATATAATATATATATGTACTTGTAGCAAGTTTTGTAATTGCAATAAAACTACTAATTGAACAAAAAAAAAAAAAAAGAAAAAAATTACACATATTTTAAGATTATAAAATTAATGCCTTTTTTTAAAATGTGCTTTTGCAAATAATGTCATTGTGTAAAAAAAAAAAAAAAAAAAAAAAAAAAAAAAAAAATTAATAAAAAAAAAAAAAAAAAAAATAAAAAAAAAAAAAAAAAAAAAAAAAAAAAAAAAAAAAAAAAAAAAAAAAAAAAAACATAAAAAATATATATGTACTTGTAGCAAGTTTTGTAATTGCAAAAAAACTACTAATTGAAAAAAAAAAAAAAAAAAAAAAAAAATTACACATATTTTAAGATTATAAAATTAATGCCTTTTTTTAAAATGTGCTTTTGCAAATAATGTCATTGTGTAAAAAAAAAAAAAAAAAAAAAAAAAAAATGCAGCTTGTGAAAGTGTAAGCTATATATATTAAAAAAAAAAAAAAAAAAAAAAAAAATACACATAAAAAAATAAAATGATTAATACGCTTCTTTATCAGTGTTTTCCTTTTACACATATTATATAAATTTTAAAAACTTTAAAAAAGGGGGAAAAAATAGTTATTTGGGATATAACATTTAGAGGTGTATTTACAATGGCAATATTTTCCACTAGGGAGAAGAAAATGTTCCATTATTAAAACTACAAGAAAAGAAGAAAAAATAAAAAAAGTAAAAATAGGGCGTCATTACAGTTGTTACATTTTTGTCCTAGTAAGTTCTTGGTAATAATTTTTTCCCATGATCATATGGGAGATATTTGCTTTTATTCTTTGGACGATATCCTGAAACATTATATCATAAAAGGGGAAATTTTATGTGTAGAATGCTTATGAAATTGCATTTTTTTTTTTTTTTTTTTTTTTTTTTTTTTCTCCTTCACTTTGTTGCAACATTTGTTCTGTTTTACCTCCATAAGATATTTGCTGGCATAGAGCAGGTAAACGACGATTGGATTTTTTTTGGTTGTAGAAGTCAGCCCTACAAAAAAAACAAAACAAAACAAATAAATTAAAATAAAACAAAACAAATAAATTAAAATAAAATAAAACAAAGTAAAGCAAAACAAAGTAAAACAAAACAAAGTAAAACAAAACAAAGTAAAACAAAACAAAATACACATTTCTAGCCCATACAACACAATGCAGTCTAAGAGAAAAGGGGGAAGGGGGAAATGCTTCTTTTTTTTTTTTTTTTAATACATATCCATTTTTATTTCTTAATTTTGTAATAAAATGGTACAGGGGAATACATATTAATAAAACATTGACGCAAAGAAATTACTAACCATATAAAGTATGCTTGTAAGAAATGATCACTTGATAAATTAAAGATATGCCTCATTTGAAATACACTATATTTACTCAATTCTGTAACTATGTTTCCATTTTTCTTTACTTTTTTTTCATACAGGTGTCTGCATCAGGTGAGAAGAGATTACGCTTATAATTAGGTTCTTTACACTACACATATGTAGGTATATATATATATATATATATATATATATACATGTATTTCTGTGTACTTTTTTGCGCATACTAACTCCCACAATATGTCTTTTAAAAGTGACGGGAAAATATCCACACTTGTGGCTGCCTCATCCAAGGACACTAGAAACTGCATACGGGATGAGATAATTTTCGATGTGACTAATACTCGAAGGTAGATAAAATGAGGAAATTTGGGAAATATAATATGAAAACGTACAAAAATACGCGAAATAATTCATGGTGCAAATAAATACACAAGTGCGTAAATGCAAGAGAAAACTAACCCCGAAGGCATATTCTTGGCAATTTAAGAGTTCTGTATTGAAACAGTACTCGGGGACATCTTTCAAAAGCATCCAGTCACGAACAATCCTCCATGTGATATCAAAAATATACGTATTTATTATTTCGCCTTGATACTCTTCATGCCTTAATCTCTTGTTAATTATCCACAAATGTAAGATATAAAAATACATTTTCATATTAAAAGACTCCTCTATGCGAAACAGATTCAATATTTCTTCATTTTCCAACCTTTCCATGATAAGATGGATTAGTCTCCATGCACATTCCCCATATTCTGTGTGTTTTCTAATCGAAAAAAAAGAAAAGAAAAGGCATGGATAGATGGAGGTTTTACTAATTCTTACTAAGGGCACTCAACCATATGTGCGTTGTGTGTTAAAATATTAGACTATTTTGGAAAAAAATATATTTTTCTCCTTTTCGTTCTAAAGATATACGTAATACAGGTCATAATTTATATTACTTTTCCAAAATAGACTTTTTTATGTATTTAGTAAAATAGAAAATAAATGCACATATATACAAGCACAGAGTATTTACACATGCATATGCGTAAGAACATAGGTGAACACATATGTAAACCCAGACGGTGTATATGTACATAAGCAATATTCAATTTTACAGGAAAACTCGATATATAACGGAACTGATTAGTGAACGGTCACACTGGGGTATGGGGATGGCATATTTTGACGATTCGCGAATGCTAATTTTTGTATTTTTGTCTTCATATAAACTTTTGCTTTCTATAATTTTCAGATTATCATACACTTTCACTTCACTCGTAAAATATCGAAAACTTATGTATCTTCTGTTTAACAACAATGCTCTACCTTTATTCCACATTACAGAAAAAAAAAAAATTATGCAGGTAATGGAGGGGAAAAAAAAAAAAAAAAAAAAAAAAAAAGCTAAAAAGCTAAAGGGGTTAAACGTCTAAAAAGAAATTGTGGAATTCCTTTTCCTTCCCATTTTCATCTGAATCAAATTGGTTTGTTCCCTATTCGATTTTATCTTCTAACTTGGCTGAATGGATATTTACCCATTAACCTTCTTTCTCGAGTAAAAAAACATGTACATCTCTGTTTACAAATTCGTGCAGCCGTATTGTGGTATTTTCATGAATTCATTCAGTAAGCCTATTTTTATTAGGGCTGAAGTTTGTCAAAAGAAGTCTCGCTCTTATGTGCACATGATCATATATAGTATGAAATTAAATTGGAAATAAGAGGTAAATAAAAATTATGTAGATTGTGAAAACAGAGAAGCGAAATTTTCAATAGTACGAATTAAATTAAAAATGCAGGGAGCACAATCGTGGCTAAAAGCAAGCGTAGCAAATTGAAAAAAAAAAAAAAAATTCTTAAATCCGAAGCTTAATATTTGTTCTGTGTTTAAGCATATAACAAAAAATATATTTTACATATTATATATGTATTTATAAATTAATTCATATGTAATATTTTACAAAAATGACACATTTTAGGCACCTTAGGTTAAAATGCTTTAAAAATGTTAAAATATATATATATATATATCACTTTTTTCTTCTTTTCTTGATTAATATTTAAAAATGATGCATCCGTATGACATCCCTGCTCCAAAACCACACATACATATGACGTCACCCCTTTTGATTTTACCTTTATATATCTGTAAAAAGTTAAGTGACACAACAATCGTGTTGAATTGGAAGAAAAAAAAAAAAAAATATATATATATATATATATATATTAATAAAAATAAAATAATAAAACACTGTCACTTGCTGACAGTGCAGTTATTTATATGTTAATATTGATTATGTGGGCTTGCTATAATGAACACAGTTGGGTGTGTCCAGCTGGCGTGTACACATTTATTTTTATATGTCCTAATTTGTTTCTTTTTTTTTTTTTTTGCAGTATTACATTTTCCGATAAGCATAAGGGGATGGAAGCTGCAGATGTGTTTGCATATTCATCCAGATTAACCAAAACCTGTATAAAATGTGTTTATGGGTTCGTGTATATATGTTGATATGTGTTATCGTGTGTATTCTCAGATGTATGCGCGTCTGTGTGCCTACGCACAAACATGTATACAAGCTATTCCTCACCACCACCCCTACGGGTGATCAGGTTGCAAAAAGAAAAAAAAAAAAAAAAAAAAATCATATAGGCGAAGGAAATATGTTGACCTTTGATAAGGGTATATCCAAATATTTTGCAACAGTTTCTATAATTCTTATATTAGCTTGATGAAATATAAAGTAATCAATATCTTCAATTTTTATATTAGCATCTTGTGTGGCATTTTGTAAAATTTTTGGTAAATTACTTATGGTGTATTTAAACACTTCTTTCCCATTCATATTCAATTTTCCATATTTGTTTGTGTTCGGGTTTTCTAAATTGTATTTATCGCATTCGAAATTTATTGTTAACAAATCGTTTAATTCACTATTGGACCCAAGGTAATAATCAAATATTTTATTTTCTTCATTTGGTTCTGTCCTTTGTAATATTACGGCTCCTGTAAATGGGTTGCACAAAAATATGTTTTTCTGAATGTGTGAGTTGTTAATATTGTTGAGACATGAAAAGATAAAGAAGATATAGTAAAGAGTAAACAGTAAGCATGAAAGACGTAAAAGATAAGCACTTAGGTGCCTTTTTTTTTTTTTTTTTTTTTCCAAACACCTATTTTGTCCTAGTGTATTGTTTGACATATAGGTGTGCTTCACATTTTGGTTTAATAAACAAATACAATTTTATAAACATATGTATATACATGTATGCATCACCTGCGGCATCTCCAAATAAAATACAAGTGTTTCGATCCCTCCAATCGACAAAATTGCTTAACGCATCGCTACCCACAATGAGAATATTCCTGTATTTCGGTAAAAAGTTATACGCTAAATGGGAGAGAAAAAAAAAATTGTTATATACATGTGGAGAGGGGGAAAAAAAAAAAATATATATATATATATATATGTACATATCAAGCGGCTATGTTTTATCCCTTTTTTATATTTATTAAAACGAACCTGTAGCAAAGGCAAAAACAAATCCTGTGCATGCAGCTGTTAAGTCCATGTTAACACTATATTTACACCCAAGGTTCTTACTAATGTTGCTTGCATCACCAAATAAATTCTGTGGTGTGGAAGATGCATTGATAATCTACGAATAAAACATATACGTATTTTAGAAGTTCCAAAATTTGTGAATATTTATATATTTTTACTAAAATAAAAATTTAAAGTACGCATGTAAAATCGTAACAAATTGAATCACATGCTGAGAACTATTATACGCGATATCCCCTCTTTAACGGAATATTTTTAGTGCACATTTGTGGATATAAATATTCAAACCTAAGTATGGGCATAGGCAGACAAGAAAAAACAAGTATGTATGTATTCACGTATGTATATATGTTTAGATGCTTATTTACTTGGGCATGTATACAAATGCAAGAGTGTTTTAAATGGGTAGTGTGTACACTTGGTTACGCAGTGGATTGATTGCATGTACCGTGAAATAAGGATGCACACAATGATGAAAGTAGAAAAAAAAAAAAATAAAATAAAATAAAAACAAATAAATTAAACTAAGTTAAAATTAAAAAATACACAATAAAAAAGAGAAAAATGTTTAACGATCAGGAAGGGGTGTACATCTGATGTAGCCTTACCATGTCTATGTTTAACGGGTCCATCGAACAACTTTTAAGAGCTTGGGTGGCGCTTTCTATTTGTAACATTGATATATTTTCATTTCGTTTTAGAATTCTTCTTTTCTTAATTCCAGTTCTGGTTTTAATCCACTAAAAATGTGTGCATGTGTAAATGATTATATGTTTAGTGCATGTAATGCTCATGTGTAGTGACATAACTTGAATATCATTTAATTTATGAATATTACATATATCACAGGGATTTATTTTTTTCAAGTAGGTTTATATATATATATATATATATATAAACAGAGGAGCGAAAAAGACGCAGATTCATTACTTCGTCATTTGTATCAACAAATTTTTTTAACTCATCATTGTGAATCTCGTTTGAAGGATAAGAATGGCCATGTCCTATAATTTTACCTCCAGCTATTGCGTAAAAAAAAAGAAAAAGAAAAAAAGAAGTTAATTCTTTTTACATGTTCATATTGAGAACAGATTAATAATTAATTTTTGCATAATATATTATTTTGATAAATCAGTTTGCTCTTCCTTGTTAAGGAAGTAAACGACCCTTAAGGATTGGAGAAAAAAGTAGCATGCAAGAATATGCACATACATATATATATGTATGGACATGCAAAAAAAAAAAAAAAAAAAAAGGAGGAAACGGGTGTGTAAATATCTATCACATTATGCCCTTAAATGCTTACTAATTGTTACTCACTTCTCCTTCCCGTGGCACGCACTTTAGTTGTGTGCTTTGTATTAGAGGAGTTGTTTATGAAGTTGTATTTACGATTCTTGTTCGTTTCTAGTGTTAAGAGTACGGATGTATAATAAGTAAAGAGGAATATAGGAATGTAGAGAAACATTTTTCCTACCCTTATTTCCCCCCCTTATTTTTGTTGTAATGCATATGTATATATATATATATATATATATATATATATATATATATATATATACCAGAATATCTATTTCTTAGTTGCTCTTTAAGGAATGCAAAAATGAAATTACTGTTATTTGTTGTTCATAAAGTGTTATTTCAAACGACAAAAAAGGGAAGAAACAGGGTGATGAAAAGTTTAGAAGTTTTCTATTTAATATGTGTTTACATAATTGATCAAGTTTTTTTTTTTTTTTTTTTTTCTCTTCTCTATCTTTCTTTTTTAAAAGTAAAATTAAGAAAAAGCAGTTCCTCCTTTCCCCACTCTACACATTCCGAGAGTTGCAACAAATGGTGGAAAATTATGCTTAACGCACACATGCAATGAAACCTGTTTTTTTTTTTTTTTTTTTTTTTTTTTCTTGTCAACAATTTTTTCTTTTAAAATATAATTTGTAATGCTTGAGCTTATTTTTATTTCTCTATGAAATCAGAATTATTAATAAAAAAAAAAAGGAAAATCATTAAAAATACGTTAAGTGTAATTGTTTCTATGAGAAAATTTTTTTTTGTTATCATTTAAATAATTTTTCTTTTTTGGGTGTTCCTTAGGTTTGTTTCAAATCTCTTTTATGTTGTTACATATAACCGTTTCAGTTGAATGAAACAAATGAAGTTCATAGGGAAGGGTGTTGCAGGTTAGGTACACTTTCCTCTATGTTTTTTATTTTATATATATATATATATATATATATATTTTTTAATTTATTTCTCAGCATACTCTATCTGATAATTTAAATGTTGTACGTTTTAAAGAAACACACTTATCCACATGAATCGTGTATACGTGTACGTAAGCATGTCTGTTTATATGCACGTATAAAAGTACACATAGAGCAATAAACACCCATGCACAAAAAGACACACCCATGTGTTTAACCACAACCATCTTATGAATGGATACCATTTTTGTCTTAGCAACAATGTTCACTCTATACACATTTTAATTGTGCAGAACACAAATGGAAAAAAAAAAAAAAAAAAAAAAATTGATGTAGAAATGTTTTTTCTTTGGGGTTATTATGAAGTAAAAAAATACTAAAAAAAAAAAATATATATTTTTACCTAACTGTTATTAATGTTTTATATGCAGAGAAAATATGAAAAATGTGTATTTTTCCAAAAGTTCGCTTAGACAATGAGAAAGGAGTTCCTTATCAGAACTGGTTGTGAATATACACAAATATACAATTATAATTTTTGAAGACTGATATATATGTCAGTACTTTAAAACGTGAAAAACAAAATATAAGCATATAACCTAAAAGTAATGTGTGTGTGTGTGTGTGTGTGTATGCTCTGGTACACGAAATAAACCGTATGTTTATGTATGCAAAAGTGTTCAAAACATACATCAAAAAAGACTTGCTTTTTACGTGTAACGCTAAGAACGTTACGCAAATTTAGCTTGCTTTGTAACAAATAAAAAGATAGTTAAAATAAAAATTGACAAAATTTCCTTTAAAAAGTGAAACAAATAAAAGAAAGAAATTCCTAAGAATATTGTGTAAAAAAAATAAAATAAAATAACATAATAAGATAAACTCTTAGTAATTGTTCCTAATTGTTCGTAATTTTTTGTGATTTTTTTTCTTTTATCAAAACTAAAAGCGTATGGATTTACGCGGATGTAAATACGCAACCCAACTTTAACGCACTCATGGGGAAGTTAAGAAAAAAAAAAAAAAAAAAAAAAAAAGGAAAAGATATTTGCTACTTCATGATGAATAGCTGAAATCACACGAATTATGTTTTATCAGAAAATATATTAAAAAAAAAAAAGGGGAGAAGCAATGAAGTGAAGGGGAAAGAAAAGGGGGGATACAATTTTACACATATTAAATTAGTTTCTGCAAGCACATTAAGTACGCCAACTAGAACACACACACACACACACACACACATACACAGCAGCATATACCTAAGTGCAAAGATATATGGTGAAAAGGAACACGTTTAAATAATGCAAGTATAGATCTACGAGAAATTGACTTTTGTCTTGAGTTAGGGTAAGAGAACTGAGTAAAAATAAGATCCCACCTTTCGAAAATTATGAATGAAAGGATACTAAAAAACCTTTGGAGATGCGAGTCATCATGTCTATTAAGCAAAAATAATTTTAACGCAAGTTCATTTTGTACATTTAAAATATCACCACATGGTAGTTTATTACTGGAGAAAAAAAAAAATTTAGTGGCACTTGGCAACATCAGCACTTCCTCCATTGCTGTCAATCAACACACCATAGCACATATAAGCAATGAAAAAAATAATCACTGTAATGAGAACTGCAAACGTGCGGATTGTGTAAGAAAAGGAATAAATGATAAAAGCACGAGCAATGGGGACTATAACATTGGAAGCAGCTGTAGTAGATCTAGCAGCATTGGTGGTATCAGCAATATCTGTTACACTAATGAAAACCAGTTGTTAAAAGGGACACATTACATTTTCCATTCTGATAAGGAAATTTACATTTTACCCAATGGACGAAGCAATTACTCTTTTGGTAAGTCGTGCGTTAATAATTATTCAACAGCGAGAAAAAGCAGAGACGAATGTGAAAAAACATCTGGAAAGGGTGAAAATGGAAAGGGTGAAAATGGAAAAGGTGAAAATGGAAAAGGTGAAAGTGGAAAAAGTGAAAATGGAAAGGGTGAAAATGGAAAGGGTGAAAATGGAAAAGGTGAAAGTGGAAAAAGTGAAAATGGAAAAGGTGAAAGTGGAAAAAGTGAAAGTGGAAAAAGTGAAAGTGGAAATGGTGAGTCATGGAAAAAGGAAGAAATTTCAAACTCTACGAACAGGGAGAAGGCACATGTTGAAAAATATTACCAAAATCATGATATACTAATGGAGGGGAATAATGAAATATTAAAAGACATACAATGGAAAGATAATAATTACAGTTCTTCTAGACGTGGGGAATTCAAAATGATGAATGAGTGTATCACAGATGTAAGTGGGACGAGAAGTCAAGCGATAAATGTTAATTGTAAGAATGATGAAAATGTTGAAGAAAATAAAAAGAAAGAAATTTGTAAGAGGGAACAAAACGAGAAAGATGAGGAAAACTTCCACGGAAACAGTGATGCCTGGAAAGGTGCAGGGGGAGGAGAAATAAATGATAAAATAAAAAAGAAAAATGAAATAAAAAAGGTTCTAAATATAATATTTTGTTCATCGATTCCCATGATTGGGTTCGGATTTATGGATCAGTTTATTATGATTCGTTTAGGTGACATTTTTGATGCTTCTATTGGAGTATCTTTTGGAATATCGACCTTATGTGCTGCTTCCTTTGGTCAACTTTGCAGTGACACATTTGGAATTTTTTTTGGTTACGTTTTAAATTATTTATTGCAAACTTATAAAGTTATCCAGCCAGCTAAAATTGACATAAAGAATAAAGTGTATCAATATTGTACATTAATAGGATCTGTTTTGGGGATATTACTTGGTTGTGCTCTTGGTATGTTACAACTTATTTTTATCGATACAACAAAAAATGAAAGGTTAAAAAAAAAAAAAGAACTGGATTTTATATTTCAAATGGTCATGTGCGATTGTTCTAACATATTAAATTGTGAAACATCAACTTTGTTTTTATATGATAAAGCAAAAAACGAATTATGGAGCAAAGCTATTCATGGTAGAAAAAATATAATAAAAATTTCAGCCAATAGCAATGAGAAAAGTTTTAACTTGTGGGTTCTCAGGAATAAAGAAATTATTAATTGTAAGGATGTTCTCAATAATGAATTATACAACCCATCACATGATGAAAAATTTAATTTCAAAACTAGAACTATTTTAGCTGCACCTATTTTAGATCGAAATAACGAAGTTGTCGGTGTCCTTATGTTTCTAAATAAATTAAGATCCCATGGGGGATACTTCACAAGAAATGATGAAAAGCTAGCTGAAATGATGAGCAAACATATTTCCATTTTTATGGAAAAATTCAATTATATCAGTGAAGGTGATAAAAAAATGATCATTTTTGATAAGGAAAAAAATAATCCCCTCGAGGGGGAAGAAGAAGATGAAGATGATGAAGATGTAGATGATGAAGATGAAGAGGTAAAAAAAGAGGTAGAAAAAAAAGAAAAGGACAGTAAGTCAGGTTTAACCGGAACTAATTTGAATTTCCCCAAGGGAACAGATGTGAATACAAAGAAAGATCCATATGACGGGGTTAAACCAAAGGACAAGCATGATGAAAATAAAGAAGCAATAAAAAGAAAAAGAAACAAAAAAAAGATAATACAGTATCACGTTTTACAAACAGATGAAGATGATAAAATATTTGACGAAGGGAGTGAAGATGACAATATAAAACAGTTTGATGAGTACTACGACGAAAAGGGAGAAGAAGACGCTAATTATGATGATGAGGATTATGACGAGGATGAAGATGAAGACACAGATTCGGATGCAGAATTGGATGCAGATTTGGATGCAGAATTGGATGCAGAATTGGATGCAGAATTGGATGCAGAATTAGATGCAGAATTGGATGCAGATTTGGATGCAGATTTGGATGCAGAATTAGATGCAGATTTGGATGCACATTCAGATTCAGACACGACGCACGTGGAGGAAGGGACACAGGAGCAGGGCGAAGAGGAACAGGAAAAGAATGGAACGGGGGAAACGGACGAGATAGAGAAATTAATTCAATCGAATCAGGTACACACCAAAAGTGAACATGTTGGCAAA